CCCAGTGCACACAGGTTTTTCTTCTTCCCCCTCCAAAGCTTGGTTCAAGTAGTTAATTGCTCTGTTATGCACAATTTACAGGGCTTAATTACAAAACTAATACATTAGCCTTCTTGTCTGTAAGTCACAGGCACCACTTCATCTTTGCCACTGGGACACAGTGAAATTAGACTTATTTCAAGTTAAAACATTTTGATTTGCAGTTTACCTCCCTGTTTTAAAGCCGTGCAATCTGAGGGAATACCCAACTACGTTTTGGTTTTACATTTCCATTGCTTACCTACTTGTTAGCAGCTTGAAGGTGAAATTTCTTTCACTGCCCACTCCTGTTCCTGTGTGCTCAAGCTACACTTGGCAAACTCCAACGGCTCTTTTTTCTCCCCTCTCTCCGTTTCCTTGTATGTTGATCTAATAATGCTTTTCTGTTTGCTTCCTTGGGCATAGATCGCTTCATCCCTAAAGTCTTTCCAGGCCTAAGTGAACTACAAGAGTGCTAGAGGATTCAGCGAGAAGGAGGAAGAGTAGAGCACAAACATTTTGGTGCAGATCTAAACAGCAACTAGACCAGAAGCACACGCAACAGTGAAATTCATGTGCAACACGTTAGTGTTTCAGCATCCCCTTCTATTGCCCAGCTCCTCAGAAGCAAGTAGAGAAAAATAAGCCGAAGCCAAGGCTGAAGCTTTACTTACAGTGGATTATTTTGCAGTTAAAAGAAAAAGGCATCTACAATTCTAGTTACTTTTTCCCTGCTTTTCCCGAGTATCCAGTTGTGAAAACTATTTCACTTCTATTAACTCACCCATGGGAAAACTTGGTCAGATTGTCCCTGCATTTGACACTTATGTGCGTCTTCATGGTGGCAAAATACTGGCATAAAACAGTCCCTGGAAAACACTAACCCTTTCCCTTCAAAACTCTCTGAAGAACTCAAGTGTGAGTATTGCTGCTCTTTCTCTCCACGCTAGCAGCAAGCACGTTCAAAGACCGTTCCAACCGTGCGATATTCCTTACTGCTGGCCGGCAGACATTCCGCTGTCCCAAAACGGATCAAGATGTCACTATGTACGAGAGCGCGAGCAGAAGCGATAGGTAATTACTCTTACTTATTAACAACATCATAATTACAGAATGGCAAAATAATCAGTCTTTCTAGCACCCACCCCTTGTCCTGTATGTCAGTCAGAACAGGATAATTACATGGCAACCTGCTCAATGCAGTCAGTCTGGAGTACAGTCCGAGGGCTGTTACCACACCTACGGTCTGTGGGTACAGCACTGGCATTACTGCAGCACTTTGAAACCCAGTGATCGTCCTACCAGCTCCCTAAAGCAGGAGACAGCCCCCCTTTAGAAGAGTAGGGAGAGTAAAGGGGAGGTGACAGAGACTGGCCAACACTGGAGATTTCTTTTGCTGCCACAGTAATACAGACTGACACGGAGCTCAGTACTACACAGAAAAGCACCAAAAGTGACTTAAACTGACGGTGACGAAGGCCTTCACAGCACGGGCTGCACCCGCTGACCCCCCGGTCCAACACGCCGCACAGTGACGCGTCACCCATCAAGGTGAACCAGCAGACTCCGTGCCTTCTGTCCAACACTGCTGCAGTCTGCATCAGTGACTCAGCTACCCCAACGTGACGGAGCCCCGCTGGAATCTGCTCCAGACGGTGCCGCAACAGCTGAAAACTAGAACGATAAACCCCGACTCCCGAGACCCGTCTACACTCACACACAGCACGCCCTAATTCCCACACCCCTGCGTGGCCGTGAAGATGAGAGAGCACTTCAGAAAGTTCTTCTGTGGATGGAAACATTGCTGGTCATTCAAGGGTTAACATTAACTCAATTTTAGGAAAACAATCTGCAAATCTGTGCACGTTCCTGCATGGCTGCCATGTTGTAGGCTACGTCATTTCAGGCGTCTACAGAGATCCTCTTCCAAGGGCGGGCGGCAGCTCACTTGAGATCTGAATGGTCAGAGTCCCAAGACCATTTTGCAAGCCTTGTGAACAGCTCTCCCCCAAACCCCCAGGTCCTTCCCAGGCTAAACAGCCCAGAGTGTTCGCAACTCCCCAGCTCCCTACTCCGTGACACATTCTGTCTCAGCTCTTATGTCTTAGGCAAGTCCCAAATCACCCCTTGGGACACCAATCTCCAGCAATCAAAAAACACAGCCAGGAGAGACCTCAAGAGGCCATCCAGGCCCCATCCTTACCCCTAAGAAGGATCCTATGTCATTCATGACAGATACTTGTTTAATCTGTTCTTAAAAGCCTTGTGTGATGGAGATTCCAACACTTCCCAAGGCAACATATTCCCGTGCTCAACTATCTCTACCTTCTCCTTGATGTTTAACCAAGACATTTTTCTCATCGGTTCAGTGCAGATGTGGAGAGCAGATCGTTACCCTCATCCCTCAACAACCTTCTCCATAACTGAAGACATCTCTCAAGTCCTCTCCAGATTAAAACCTCGTTAACTGGAACCTCTTTATTTCTCTGTAGGTTCAACCTTGCCCTCAGGAAAACATCTAGATACAACTCCTAACAACCCTTTCAAACTAGGCTGTGCCAGAGGGAACGCCAAGCTTTGTTGTCTCCTCCTTCCCCTTCTGATTTCACTTACACATCCCAGCTGGAGTGAGTGCACTTGGCCTATCCACTCAAGAAACCTCAAGGGAGAATTCTCTTCTAGTGCTGCTGTGACAGATGCACAGGGCAGCAGGAACAAAACCCACACTACAGCAGCATTTCAGATTAAGTCTCTGGTACACACATAGTAGTTTATTGCCTCTTCCTGGGCAACTCTCCTTGACCTGACCATACAAGTCTGGTGTTCAGCATCCAACACCCTCAGTCTCCAGAGGCTTCACTCCTGCTGGATTTGAGCTAAAAGCTGTTCGGTGCACCCTAACATCTCCGCTGCAGCTACAGTGCTCTGCCGGGCTTTGGGACGCAGCGCGATTTCCAGTCGCATCCGTGTACTGCCCACGAGACTTTCCCCTTTCCAGATTAATGTCAGTGCGTCCTTCAGTTGCTGCATCGATTTCTTTTTTTCTTTAAATATTAGAAGCAGCAGCTATTGTTAGTTTTTATCTCAGGGAGCTTTAAATTTTAACCTCAGCTGGTATCTCTTCAAAGACTCTACATTATGGTAGCGTTGTCACAGTCCGCTACGGCCACCAAGCCTCGTGTCAGCCTGCCCTCTCCTGGTGAGCCGGCGTGCTAGCCCAGCCCCAACCCACTGACTGGAAAGGTTCGTAGAGACACAAAAGCAAACCCCAAAACAAAGCATCAAGGAAACTGTTTCGATAACTTTAGGAACATTTCTAAAGCAGCACGAGATGAACAGCACTGAGTAGGGAAGTTGCTTTCAAGCTGCCTCAGGAGTTCTTGTCTTGGCAAAAACTGATGGCTGCAGAGAAAAGTAAAACATAAAAATGAAACTGTTCTTTTGCTTTTAAAGCTTCATAAAAGCAGCCAAGAAGAGAGTATTTTATTCCACATCAGTCATGTTAAAAACAAGGTCACGGAAGAGATGGTTTTCCGCAGAAAGCCATTTCTCTCAAGCTGGCACAGGCATTGCAGCGGGGCAGAAACAGAGCAGTAAGACAAAGGAAAGCAACAGCATGTGTGTAAGCGGAACACCCACACTCATCGCTTTTTATTACGTCGTTCAAACACGAGAAATGAAAACAGCGAGACGACAGGTCAACTACCGAGCAACCCACGCTGCATTCGGCACGTGCAGGGAAGCCTGGAAAGGTCCAGGGATGCAGTACAGCTTTACTGGATGATGAACGCTTCCCTTCCCCAATTTCATTTTTTCCCCATTAATGCTATAGACAATAAAGATTTAAAAGCTTTTTTTTTTTTTTAAACGACCAACCTTCACCCCAGAGAAGCAGAATTCATTAACTCTCTAACACCAAATTCAGTCGTACTCATAGGAACTCTACCCTGCTCGTGCCCAGAAGGTAGAGCAAAGTCTTTCCAGAAGATGGTAACAGCTTCCTCGCCTTCCACTCCTCCCCTTCAAGCCAGAGGCATTTTATTTGCAGAGAATCTCAAGGAGTTTTTTTAGGATATTTTTGAAATCTGGAAGAAAATTCATGTGGATTTCAAAAGTAATTCATAAGGAATGAACAAGCACATGGGAAGCATCAACACTTCAAGCGATTCCAGCTGAAAGGCCATATTTACATCATGGTCAAACTGCTGAAGACAAATTCATCTTTTATCTACTTCAATTTAAATTCAAAAATATAACAAAATCTTGAGCTTGAAGCTTGTTCTTTCAAAAGAAAGAGCCCCTATCAGCAAAATATCATAGGTTGGAAGGGACCGTAAAGATTGAGTTTCAAGGGCAAAAATTCCACACTCCCGTGCAGGTACAACTGCAAGCACCTAACACATGGACATCCCAGACACTGGTAACAGGCGTACAAATGCACGCGTAAACATGATTTAAATTTCGTGTGCTGTCTTACTGCTGTATCGTGCACCAAATTCCCTAGCCCTTGGAGCATTCCTTCAGCTGAGAAACAAATTAGTCTTTGCCTTCTTGAACTGACTGCACTTGGTGCTGCAGAGACAAACCAGTCATTTGTCGAGTTTTTTGGATTATCAGCGGTGTTTATTACTATTGCTCTGTAGACAGCACTGAAGTACGAAAACACACCAGCAGAACGCAGACTGCAAGAAAGAGGCAATGTCAGATCCAGTCCATTGTGGGAGAAGAGTTTATCCTCTTGATTACCCGCCACGACTGTCTACCAGACCGGTGCCCTGAGCCAAGCCAGGTCTTCCATGCAGTTATGATCTTCAAGCATTTTAGGCATCAAGGCAAGGAAATTCAGTTCTAAGTTATCCAGAAAATGAATAAGGAAATAATAACTAAGAAAATGTAGAGCAGGAGAGAACAGCACTTAAGAGAGAACATAAGAATCTAATACTGACCTTCACTTTAGAAAATCAGAGTTAGCTGAAACCTCGCTAAATGTTATTTTCAAGAGGTATTTCCTCTTCTTCATAGTGTTTTTGGTCACTTCTGTCCTTCCTGTAGCCAGAACTTGTTATGCTCCTTTTCTGTGTTCGAGACCAAGTTCTGCTGTCTCGAGGCACGGATGCACACACGCTTTTCCTCCTCCACCTTTCGCAAGGCCCATCGGCAAGACTGGAGTCATTGCTCTCCCTCCCCGCTGCTGAGGGCTGGACAAGGTTTTGTTCTCTCTCGGATTCTCTAAGGATGGATGCGCCGATTGTTCTCCTGCTTCTGCAAGCAGGAGCGAGCAGGGGAGGGGCCTTCTGAATCTCATCGGGTACTTGAATCCAAGCAAGTCCTTCTCTTTCGGCATCTTTATGTAATCTCATGCTGCGCCTCACCCTTCTCTCTCCACTGTCACCCCTCTTTCTTCTAAAAGGCTCCAAGGAGTCATTCTTTACCGGAGTGACAGACAAGATTTCTTCCACATTAAAATAAGAAACTGGAAGATCGTTTCCTGTCATTTCCAATCTTTCAACAGGAGGAAAATAGATGGCACTACTACTCCTTGTCCTGGGTGAACTGCCTCTTACAAAATCTTTGTGTGGACACCCAGTTCTTTGGGCACCCTCATGTACATCAGTGTCCTGCTGTTCCAGAAATTCCAGCCTGGTTAGCTGCTCTCCCTTGTTCAGGAGATCTTGCAGTTTCTCATTTTCTGCCAAGGAACCATGTTCTTGTGCCTCTTCTACACACGTGGTCTCTCCACCTTGTTGGGAACAGTCAGGTGTATCAAAACCACGCTTTGCATCTGGCACGTTGTCTGAAAACTGGAAAAAAATAAATTCAATATAGGTGTGCTGCCTTTAGTCAGGACAGAGTTAACTCTTCACAGTGACTGGTGTGAGGCTGGTTTGGATTTGCCCTGAGAAGAGGCTGATAAGGGGTTTTTAGTTGGTCCTAAGGAGTGCTGGCACCAACTCATGGACTTTTCAGTTTCTGATACGGCACCTGTGTTCCCAGCTTTCTCACTACAAGCAGTGGGTGGTGTGGTGGTGGGGGCACAGTTCAGACAGCTGACTTTAACTGACCAAAGAATGTCAATCCAACATCATCCAGCACAATTCTGACTTATTTTCTAGCAGCATCCTTAACCATATCATAAGTTACCTCATGATCACTGCCAGAAACAGACTGCAGATGGCCACAGGGCACCCGACACCCAGCATCACTGGAGCTGCTGGCTTCTCCAACCTCCACGTCCTCACAGCCTGAATGCGCCCGAACTGCACACGTGTTCGTCCCTCTCCGCCCTTCAACCACTGCCCTCTGTTGGACATCCTGGCAAGCATTCCCAGATTTGGCATCACCTAAAAATACATCCTCTGATTTAGAACAAACACATGGCTACTTGACTCTACTGGGGAAGGTACAGAATCTTTTTTTAATATTACAACAAAAGCTTTATAGTATTTCACTTAGCTAAAATGAACCTTCTAAAGAACCATTCCAGGTAACTAGTGTAAAAACCCCAGAAAGCTACTGCACATCACAGAACTTGTCCTGCCCAACTCACTGGATTTGAAGACTATGGAAATACCAGTATCCAGTTAAAGTACAAAGGCTTTTCTTTTTTGTCAGCTTTACCCTGGAGTCCAATGAGCATAACATTTATCCAGTTGGAGATCATTAATCCATTAGATCCTCTGGACTCTACTACTACAGAAGCAATTAAAAATGAAAAATGCATCTTGGCGCCCTACCTATGCAGGGAACTCAAGGTGACCCTCAACAGGGGTTTTACATAACTGGTGAAATAAAGTTAGAAGCAAGGCAAAACAAAACTAAAACCCACGTTACCTAAAAGAAGTGCATTTGCCTTTGGTTCATTCGGAGTTGAAGAGAAAACCTCTGGACTTTCAGGGATAGGGCTGAGAAGAGGTTTCTTAGAAGCAATCTCCCTTTCCCCATATAGGGATTTTTTTACCTTTTTCTTTCTTCTTTTCCCATAGCTTGTATGCTTTACTTTCTGAAAAGATTGAGAAGACTGAATAGAGCCCAGCGAAACTGTAATTATCCTGCAGAATATTTTTCCAACAAATAAGTGGTACCATTTCTGCATTTTGATGGGTAACAAAAGTTTCCCCTAAAATGAAGGTTCCCCCCACTCTGCCAACTACAAATTAACCTAAAAACTCAAAGCAAAGGAGAACTTCTCAAACATCTGATTTGTTTCATTTAACCAAACCTAGAACTCAAAGAAATAGGTCTTTCAGTTCAAAAGTACAGACCATTCACGCTTAATGTGAAAAGGAACATGTGCCACCCCTCCCGAAACATGAAAGCAAGGATTTGTTGGAAGTCTCACACCTTTACTTAACGAGCATATAACTGCATGTTCAAAGAACTACTACTGCTTACACTTGGTAAGAGAACAACTCATGAAGCCTTTTTCTGTCCCTGAGAAGTGACACCCCCTGCCCTTCACCCCCCTCAAGTACCATTTTTGCCCTGCAGGTATTTAAGCCCTGCTAGTCAGCCTTTACAAGCAGTAAGGGAGGGAGGTGTGGCAGTAAGGGTAGGAAAACAAGTAGGCACAAAGAATACTGGCAGCAACGGGAAACATAAGAAACATAAACACCCTCTAGAAAATCTTTACTACAGATAATCACAAAATCCATGAAATAATCACAAAACCCATGAAAGAAGAGACCTTCAGACAGAGAAGCAAGGGCAGCATTCACCAAAGGCAGTGGGCTCTCACTTACTTGAGTCTTCTTGGTGGCAGACGTGGTGATATTCTTCTGTCTTTGAATCTCGTTCTTTCTTGGATTTTTAGTACTTTTAGTATTCTTAGTATTTGTGGCTCTTGAGTTGCTAAAATCAGTCCCCTCTGCAGTGGTGCTACACTGTTGAGGAACATGAATTTTAAGTTGTTGGGATGCGTGTGCACATGCCCCTGCACACTCGTTTTTAAAAACGCCCCACAACCACAAGAATCATGGCACAGTTCATCTCTCATTTCATACACAGTCACAAGAGCTGGACACTCACAATTAGAAACAACTATTTCCAGAGCTGCTCTCCTCACACAGACCAATACAGTCCTACTTGTACCGCAGGGACATGCTAACGAGAAAATAAGTACATTTTCATCTTCGGCCATTTCTTTCAGAGAAGACGGGTGACTTTTTTTGTATTTCTTCTCCAATGCACACACTACAGCTGTACAAGGCCAGTGGCATCCTGGGGTGCATTAAGAGGAGCGTGGCCAGCAGGGCGAGGGAAGTTATCCTCCCCCTCTGCTCTGCGCTGGTGAGGCCTCCCCTGGAGTGCTGTGTCCAGTTCTGGGCTCCTCAGCTCAACAAGGACAAGGAGCTGCTGGAGAGGGTCCAGCGCAGGGCCACTGCGATGGTGAAGGGCCTGGAGCACCTTCCACATGAGGAAAGGCTGGGAGAGCTGGGTAAGTTCATCTGGAGAAAAGGAGGCTGAGGGGGGATCTTATCAATGCTTATCCATATCTAAAGGGAGGGTGTCAGGAGGATGGGGCCAGGCTCTTCTCAGTGGTGCCCAGTGACAGGACAAGGGGCAGTGGCCATAAACTGGAAACAGAAGGTTCAGCGTGACCATGAGGAAACCCTTCTTCCCTGTGAGGGTGACAGAGCCCTGAACAGGCTGCCCAGAGAGGGGGAGAGTCTCCTTCCCTGGAGACTTTCCAAAGCCCCTGGACTTGTTCCTGTGTGCTCTACTCTGGGACATCCTGCTCTGGCAGGGGCGTTGGACTAGATTGTCTCTAGAGGCCCCTTCCAACCCCAACCACGCTGTGAACACAGATGTCCAGAAGCACTTCTTACAGAAATCGTTGCACAATAAATTTCATGCATCTTTAAATTCCAGCAACCAGAAGAGACAAACGTACGATATCCTGTCTGCCTTATGGCTGGCAGAAGATGTCAACAAGACTGAGTATCTTAGCAGTGGACTTGGATCACAACCACTTTTTCAGTGACACTGAAAGTCATCACCTGTTCCAGAATAAACTTGCCTTTATTAGCCTCTATCTCACATCTCAAAGAAAAGCCAAATAGAAAAATTAGACAGAAACTCTGTTTCCATTCGCCTCCATTTCCAAACTGAAACAAAAATCATCACTGAGGAACCTTACCTTCCTTTTAGCAGACCGAGTTTTTATCGTATCAGATTTGTCAGCTTCTGCTGTTATGTACAAAGAAGATAAGAATACTGATTCAGTCTCAATACAAAAAGTTAATCGCATTTTCAGGAAGTTATCCACATAATTTCTAACATGATGCAGTGTGTTTAGTCTTAGTCTTAAATAATGGGTAACTTAGCCTTGAGGACTGTCAAACATGGCAAGACATCAGCTTGCTTTACAAAACAGAGGAAAACAAAACTTGTGAGGATTCAGTAACAAAATAATTAGTGCTTTCACAGAGATACACACACACGCACAACCCCCTTTCATATTTGTTGTTGTCTTGCTTGCTATTTTAAAAACATCAAAAACGCCGATATCAGAATCAAGATAGTAAGCTTAAGTCTAACAAGGTAAAGTCAGCCACTTTACCTTTATCTCCTATATAAAAACAACCAACCCACCCTGGGTCATCTCTCAGTTTTCAGATACAGAAAGATGCACTATCTAAATGACAGAAACAGAAGCTGAGGTTACCTTCTGCATTTTCAACAGGTAAGAGGTCTTCCGCAGCAAGAGGATCCTCCACTAACTCTGGAGGAGGCTCAATACTTTCCTGTAAACCAAAAGGTAGAGCGTTTGGCAACACACGATACCAGGCACATACTGAAAGCCACCTCGCCCGACCCTGTCTGGAATGGCCAGGCCATTTCAGTGGGTTTGTGCTTCAAGCACGCAGCAGCTCATTTGCTATATATGGCAAAAACACAGTATCAGAAGTATATGAATAAGCCAAGGCAAAAACATTTCATGTGCTACCAGTACTCAGCTTTATGCACAGCTCTACAGGCCAAACTGGTATTTAGAATTCATAAAGCAAAAGTTCTCAATGTCATTCTAAAGCTCCAAGCAGACTGGATTGTAAAATTTTACCAATTTCTCTTCAAAATCAAGCAGACTGGGGAAAAAAACCCAACCAACCAAAACAAACCAATCACAAAAAATGAACATTTACAGACACCAAGAGGCTGTTTTTATAGTTAAAAAACCCCCACACCAACAACTTACATCACTGCAATCAAAGTTGGGCTGGGATAACGGTTCTTTGGTGGGACTGGACCTCACCGAGGGGCTACTGCTTTGTAACCCCAGCTGACGGAGCGGTGTCGCGCCCCTGCGCAACGGAGTGTTTGCAGGTAAAGTTTCGTCAAATATTTCTGGGCTCAGAGCTCCTCCAAAAGTAACTTTTTTCTTCTTTGACATTTCAGGGCTAGGTCTTTCAGTCTCCTCTACGGTAATAAAATACATAGGGGGGTTAGTGACTTTAAAACACAACTTTCATAGAGCAGAGACTTTCCAAGGTCATTTCATGGGTCTTTACATTCTCTTAAAAATCACATCCCCCACCCACACACAAAACACCACCTTTACCTGTCCTGGGGATCCAACCAGAATTCTCAATAAATCTTTGTGACAGTATCAGGAATTAATGAAGAAAATAGGGGAAATGACTAGGTGCCCCCCGAGTTCCAGCTGACAAGTGTAAAGCCTGAAAAGCAGGTGAGTCTGTTCTGGTACTGGGGGCTCTGAGAACTTCTGGTATGGGTTTTTTTTTAACAGACATTATTTCCCACTTCAGGCAGTAGGACGCAACACACGAGCTACTTCAGCAGTGGCTAAGGCGTATCACCCTTCAGATTTACCGGGGGGCAAAGCCTTCTGCTCCCACAGAACGCTGCACCTATTTAAAAAGCAGAAGGGGAATCTGACCTGTTTGCGATGGTTCAAGGAATTCTGCACAACTGGAGACTGCGAGAGAGTCACCTTCCTCTCTGTCAACTGCATCACTCGGGTAATCCTAGCAGATTTAAGTGATACAAACGTCTATTCAATACCATTTAATTAAAATAACGTCCTTGTTCAGATCAAAAGTGAAAATACCTTTTTTGGTAAGCAGCATTCAGCAGTCAGTCCTGTTTAAAACACCTACTTGCTTTCAAAGTGAATAAACTCCACAGCACATGGTCTTCTCCCAACATGAAAGCTTCAAAGCTTCCAACATGACCAAACAGCCAATCAATACCCATCAACAGCATTACATTTCAGAACTGACTTCTATTAGCCAGAAAGTATTTTTAACTACGATTCAATTCAGGTAGTTCCACACCGACTGCAGCAGCTCATCTCAGTGCTAGCACGGCCACACGGGCCAGTTAACCAACCTCCGTGCTACCCTTTAGTTGCTTGGTCGGCGTTTTCTTCAATATGGACCGCAGATGAGAGCTGCTCCCGGTCCATTCATCCCACGAAACGGCTCCTGTTGGCTGTGGCGTGCCAGGGGGCACGACGGGTGCGTTGCTCTCCTCAACCGCGTCCAGCTGCCATTCTTCTGCAAAACTCGCCCTCCTCCTGCTGAGATCCGGCGTGACATTACGCCTACCATCTTCAGGGATGTGAGCAGAACGGAAACCTTTAGAGCGAGGAGACAGACGTGACAGTGAAAGGCTGAAGTACAAGTGAGAAGTTTAGTGTTAGCAACATGAAGGGTAAAAGCACACATCTCCGTAGCCTGTGCTTCGACACTGCAAAATCCACTTGTTTGAGTCTGTTACTGTTGTGCCACCTTCACATTTCCTGCTTGGAGACAGGTACAAAATATACAGAAGGTAAAGGGAGCATTGCATGGAGGCAAAGACATTCTGCCTAAGGATTTCTCTCATCCCTGTCAATTTGGGAGTGGGAGGAAGGATTCTGTAATGTACAGAGAGGGACTCGGCACCTTAACATCCCTCTCCCCTTCACAGGCATGAGCTTCCCAACTAGACTTTTCTCTAAAACCAGCCTGACTAGCAAAATTAAGGAAAACTAAACAATTATTCCCTTGCTTTTTCCATCAGAATCACGCTGCTAACTGTAAGAGCTAGCTTCCTTGTGGTTCTGCAGATGGAAAATTCCAGTCCTAGAAAGGACTCAGTTTTATCACATGTTTGCATGAGCTGTTCTTCTTACCCATCCTGAGCAGGGGCTGGTTGGCGAGGTCAAAAAAAAAAATTAAATATCCCCACCTCCGCAGAACGAAAACACAAGAAATAAAAGGTTGGCAGCAAGATAAAGAATTGCAGAGTAAGACACACCAAAGACATGCTAAAGGGTCACAAGAGGAACGGTCACGCATCCTCCTTAAAGAAGTCAAAGTAGTACAAAAGCATAGAGACACGCGTCGGTTGGGCTGTGAACCTGGAGTTCTCAGCCACTGAGCAAACAGGGAAGGGGGCTGAAGGTGTCAGGAATTAGGATACATGTGTACTCCATCACTACGAAGGGCTCTTCCTCTCTCCTGCGGGGGGGATGCCCGCCACTGCAATCACGAATAAAATGCTGCTTCCCCGAGATCCCTGCCCGAGTCACGGGCCTGAGGGCGTTTCTCACATCACCCAACAGGCCCCACCTCGCCTTCCAAGCATTTCAGCTCCTCTCATAAAAGCTGTTTCCTTCCTATGAACTGTGCTGAAGCAAAGCCAAGCTGAACGCGACGCTGCGCTGAACGAGCTCTTGCTCCTGTTTAACTGGGGCTTCAGCCCCCTGCAGCAGCGCTGGAGCGGGTCGGTATTCGCAGAACTTCCTCGCTGCGCTTCCCCCATCAGCCCTGATGTCGGTTTTATCAAGTTCCTACTGCACTATCAGCAGGGAATGAGATAGGCATGGGATGGCTGCCTGGGAAACGTGCCCTTACAAGCACTCTAAGTGTTCTTACTTCCTAATCAGAATGTAAGAAAGGTTATAGCAGTGATGAATCCTCTTACCATGGCCTGTTTCTGTAATTAGAACAGACTCCAATGACTCAATTGGACTGTGTTGCTCATAAACCCATTCCTAGAGAAAAAGTTACAAGATCATATATATATTTATATACACACACACAATAAAGAAAAAAATACTTGCAAATGTTGCCTTTAAAACCCATGAACTACAGAGTTTTTTAATCCCACAGACAAGGATTTCAGAGTTTTCTCAACCATCCACTACCTTTAGTTGAATTCATTTTCCCAAAACACCAAGGCTAAACACTCCAAAGGATTAGACATCAGAAAAGAAAGAGATGGACTGAAAACCCTGGATATTTTCATCCTTCTTTTAGGAAGTTCCTTCCTAACCTGACCCAACTGTTCAGCATCACAGCTGTTCTGCAGCTCAGACGCTGCTAGCTCCAGCAGCAGGACACACCTCACCAAACAGACCCTGCCTTCACTGTTGGTGTAGACTACACACTAATAAAGGATGATTACAGATATTTATAGAGAAGACAAATTAACTTCGCCACCTGGATACATGCACATCCTTTGTTTCCTTGCATGGAATATCAACTAACCACCAAACAGATCTAAGGTGAGGATTACAAACTGCATTCGTAGTTGTCCCCATGATCAATAAAGTTGGTTTTGACATCAGAAAAAAGCTGTATTTGCCAGATCTGTGAATGTGACATCCTACGTAGCTACAGCTGCAGATTCAAAAGAATGAAGCCTTATTTAAATTTCATTAACAGAATAAATAGGCTTTTTATCAGGAAATAGTACAACCTTACTGACTAGAAGGGCTGACAGCATCCTCACTGAACATCAACATGGAAAGGAAACGGGAGCGCCATCTCAGCAGAGCCTGGGGTTCGGCTACATCCGCCGTCACTCCAAACGGATCAGTGTCCATGCTGGATTTCGCTCACTCGACTTGTTGTAACGAGATGTAAAACTCTCACAAGGGAGATGGGCTGCGCTCTTTGCTTCCTCCCTGTTCTTTGCCCACACTAAGGGACGTACCTTAGAAAGAGCAGCAGGAGGTTCGGCGAGAGTCACGTCTTGGCACAAGGACAGGATGCTGCAGGTTCTGGTATCAGACTTGCTGCTGCTGGTCCAACTGCGTCTTGAATCAGCCTCGCTGTTGTCGGACATGAACTTTTCACTCCACTGACCCAAGCTCCGCTCTTCTGTGAAAGGTACCTTGTTCTGAGCTGCAGCAATCCAACACACAACAACAAACCACAAAGCAGCGGGATCCTTCAATGAACGTCCTTGTGTTTATTCACCAAAAGATTCAAAAAGCCAGGTAAACGGCTAGTCAGAAACAAGCAAGCACATGCATTTTCCAGTTCTACTTTGAAAACCTCGTTAGCAAACCCTCAGCACAAAGCCAGTCATTCTCTTCATACAAACGTTAAGACCACCAATAGCAGGGAAGCGAAGCGTTGCTGTTGGTTTTACACCACCGGCTCCTCAGCGACCGCAGCACCGCCCTGACCCGCTTCTGCAGCACTGACTACTTTCACTTCGAAACAAGGCTGCTAACACGGCGGTAACGGGGTTTCCGAAGTCACTGCTCTTGGAAGTTACCAAACAAAAGGCTGCACATCATGACCAAGAGAGAACAGCTACAACAGCTAAAGCAGCTGACATGAAAACCATTCTCAGTTTCACGGAAAAAGGGTGGAAACGTTAATGCTTCGTGAAAAGTAAACTAAAGGGTACAGATCTAGAAAGTAAAACTAAGAAACAGTCACTACAAATACCAGTCTTCTCTTCCGGGGTTATTCCGAGAAACCACTACTCAGGATGCACTAGGAGAGGTGTAAACGAACAAAACCGCCTCAAACCAAACGCCCCCCACCCTGTGCGGATCCTTATACAGAAAGGCTGTTTGTCTCATATTCAGTGTTTGTATTTTGTATTTTTGGCCTAAAGGAAGGCCTGATGTTCAAGAGAAACCACTACCCAGAAATGCAATCACTTACAACAGCCTCCTTCCTGGGAAGCGCCATCCACCCGCAGCAGGCAAGAGAAGCCGGTCCCCGCGTCAGCTTCTTGTACGGATTTGAGAGACTTGTGAAAGGCATCTATCTTGTCCCTCAACGGCCGGACGTTTTCACGTTTAAAAGGACTAACCTGCTAAACCAAAATCAACCTCATCAGACTTCTTACTTTTCTCCCCGAGACGACACGGATGTTATCATTTCGTCTTTGTACTTCAGCATAAAACCAGCTTGGAAAAGCAGCAAATCATAGAATGGTTTGGGTTGGAAGGGACCTTAAGTCCTGTATTTAATCTGGCTGCAATTTTAGTTGTATGGCAAAAATAGGCTAAACCAGATTTCTTGATACAGTCCCGTTAAGTTTTACTGCCTCGTGTCATCTGTCCCTCTCGAGCATATCCAGAATTTCTCTTCTGACAGCCTACACTCGTTTGAGTTAAGAGCAGGTCTGATTAAAAGACAAGCCACTTCTGCCAGCATTTACTGCACTGCGAACCCTCAACACTTCAATCGGTCAAAAATTAAGCATGGAAAATGCAGGAAAGTGACAGTTAGGGTAAACAAGTTAAAATATATGAGCAAGCTGGACACTGAGAAAAGACTCCGGACTCGGCAAAAACCTCTTCCATGCCCTTATTCTAGAGTCAAGTCTCCAAGGGAAGTCAACAGAACTGAGGCCATGGTTATTCCTTCCTGGCTTCCTCCCGAGACTCGCCTTCTCTTCCTGCCAGCCTGTGTCGATTCCTGGGGGAACTAAACCCCATTAGATAGCTGAGAAAGACTCTCACCTCTTTAAAAGCTTCTTTTTGCCTGTTGCTCCTCTGCTGGGCAAGGTATTGAATAAGGGTGTTATTTTCTGGTGACCCCCGTACCCCAATTGCTGATCTTCGTCTGTATTTCAATGAAGCTGGAGATTTCCCTGAAATGGCAACAGGAGGAGAGAGGGAGAAAAAATAAGGGCGGTTTTTGTTAAGAATACCTAAAACTTTGGAATGATCTTTTTTTTCCTTTTAAGAGGGATTTATGCTATTTATGAAGACAGCCAAAGTTAGCTGCTTTTGGTAAGGGGTTGGTATCGATGATGTCCAGATGTCCCCGAGAAGGGACAAGTCACTAGTTACTCCAGCCTTACCTAGACACTGTTTAGTAAAACTTCCTTGAGTAATCCCAAGTTCAGCAATCGCTACAGTTGCAAAGTCAACAGGTTTGTTCCTCTGTTTCTCCGATATTCCACAATCGGATTTCTCTTCCGCTGTGCCCCCACCAGGTGTCACGCAGCACTCACCCCCCAGAGAAACAGGGGTTCTTTCTGACAAGTTTTCCTTGCTGTTCAAAGGCAGGGCCGGTTCACCAACCACTTCCCCTTTTAGGGTATCAAAAAAGCACTTGGCCAACTGACAGCTCACAACATCCTCCTTGCTGTGGTAGGATTCCTTCTGGAGGTCTTTGGTGTATTTCAGGGTGCGTTTCTGCCATTTTGCCTGGTTTCCATCACTTAAATTCTCCTTCTTGGATGCCTTCATGGCCCTGGATTTAGCCACTTTGCAAATCTTCTGGTGTCTCAATAGATCAGGGACAGAGGCCTCTTCCTTCTCCTCAGTGCACCTAACTCTTGGGTTTTTTAACTTCCAGGGGAGCATTTATATATTCTTAGGCAGTCTACACATTGTTAGCAACTTATTTGCAGAAATATTTAGTCAAGCCTTTGCTCTCCTGTAATAACAGATACCTATCGAAAAGAAAAAGAGACTTTAATAGGTATTGGGTATGAGCAAGGGTTTCCTGCAGTTCCCAAACTTCTAGCAAAGCTAGGTTTTTCCTGGAACGAGGTGTTTAACAGCGTGGTGGAAAGGGAAAGCCGTGATCTCCACAGAGCTACACAGAAAGGGCACAAAAGGCCAGCACTACAGAGAAACACGCAGCGATGCAGCTGAGGGGTCTCACGGGTAAGGGCACACGAGGCTGCGCTTCGACTCCTCGCCACGTTCCCGCAGAACACGCGAAGCACAACCGCCCTGCGACCCTTCTGCGGCGCGTTGTGAGGAGCATCCGCGGCCCAGTACCGGCTGGAGAACTGGGGACACGTTTGCCGCCCTCAGTTTCTCGGATTTCAAATTCAGCAACGTCAGACTGAAACTTCGCTCAA